GGACTAATGTTTAAAAACATGTTTGTCAAGCAGCAACAAAAGGTTTTTAAAAACAAGTTTTTTGGTGTTTTTTTGTAACACAAACATGTGATGTATTAACTTTTGCTATTTTTCAACGAATTTGTTGTTCCTAAACAATTTTTTGGTTTTCGAGCAATGAATAAAAGGGTCGGCCTCTGACTCTTTCTGTCCCTCGAACAAAAAACCACAAGCAGTCGCCAGTGCTTCGCTCCATGCCACATTTTCTCGTTTGGCCCATCCTACGCTTCAACATGGAGCACCTGACTTCGTCCACAACACAACACGATCGACTGGCCAAACTAGTGTTTTAAAAATACCGGTAAAGTTAAAAGTGGACTTTACTTTACGTAAAGTACGGTATAGTACGGTAAAGTGCGGTAAAGTTGGTAAAGTTTGATTTTACAGTGATTCAGGCCAATTTTCTATTTCTTAATGCAAGTTCATGCCTTAAGGGTGCAAAATATCGAAAAATTTAGCACTTTATCATTAAAAACAGAACACTTTTAAATAATACTGCAACGTGGAGCGTAAGTCCGAAAGATCCTTCGACTAAGATGAAATGCCACTACCACTTTAGTGCAAGCTACCTACCCTGGTGCTAAGTTTTATCAAAGGCGTCCGTTTTACGACTGTTTTGGACGCATCCGTCTGCTTCAGTGCATACGATTAAGCCAAAATTACCTTTGAAACAGGGTCGGCTACAACAATGAGGCCAAAAATACCTTCTCGATTAAAAGCACTCGACATAATACCGCAAAAACACCAGAAATTCCTCGAAAAAAATGGGTTTTCGGTTTGATTTGGGCGTTTCCTAGGCTGCTTGTGGGTGTGCTTATGTGTTAACATCACTCACCCGTACGTTTAGACATGTGGTGAATACGATACAAAGTGTTTTCCGCGACTTGAGAGCACTTGTATTTTGACTTTCAGGTCAATTTAAGTGAGGTTGCAGTGCTTTTCCCCTTGTAGGTAGGCAACCGCACTTTACCAAGATTACCAACTTTACCGGGTGTTGGGTACAGTACCGTACTTTACCGTTACTTTACGTTACTTTACCGGTAACGTTACGGGCCGTTAAATCACTAGGCCAAACCAATCTGTGCAAACCGTGTGCACCGGGAGAGTAGCTGGGAGGAAAGTAACGGAACGCACGTCTCCTTTAACCTTTCATGACGTCAAGAAAAAAATTGAGTAAGGGAATGGTAGAAGGGACGGAGCATGTTCTTCTGTTGAGGTCCACTATACGGTATCGGACGATCGCTGGACTGGGAGACTGCGACACAGAAAATAGTTGTAACAAGAAATTTCCTTGCGTTTAGCTTTCAATCAAGGATATCTTTATTCTTACACAAAATGATTTTAAGAAAAAAGTAACTTTTTAATTAGAAAAGCTCAAATTTTGTCCCTGAGCGAAGGAAACTCATTTGACACAGGATGCAAATTTGTTTGTTTTTTCCAAGGAAACGATTTTCTTGATGCAATTACTACTACTATAAATATCCGCACAAAACAGAAATCGACCATTCTCGTAGTCATATGTAAGGTCAACCGTACCCGCAGTTAAATTCATGCAAAGCAATGCTTTCCCACTATCGAGGAATTTGGATATTTTTTAACTATGAAGCATTTACTTTGCAATTACAAACCAATACTTTGCAGCATGTAAAACATTGCTGGCATTGCTTCGCGATTGCAAAGCATCGCTTTGAAATTTCAAACTGGTCCTTCGAAGTTACAAAGGATCTAAATCCTTCGCAACTTGCAAATCATCCTGCTTTGCAAAAATTTGACAGTGCTCCAAATGCGGAGTGACAACCAAATAATGAGCCCCACAATTTTCCTTGTTGCAGAATGCCGGGTGGAGGTCGCGGATCGCGGTGAGCCTTTGTCGCCATGGAAGCAACCGTGTCCCCAACGGGCGGACTGCCGAGCGAACTCCCGGCCGGACTGCCGCTGGCTGCGTGGGACTCTGTGCTCCTCCTCAACGGCAGCGTGCTCTCCCACAACGGCACGCTGAACAACGACACCTTTCTGGACGAGCCACTCTACCCCGTCCCCTTTCACATTGTGCTACTCCTGACGTTCTTCTACGTGTCCATATCAGTGGCCGCCATAGTAGGCAATGGCCTGGTGCTCTGGGTGGTAGCTACATCGCGTCGCATGCAGTCTGTCACAAACTGCTTCATCGCCAACCTGGCCCTAGCTGACGTCATCATCGGGCTCTTTGCCATTCCTTTCCAGGTAGGTGTTCATTAACAAATGGCAAAAGCCACTTGGACAGGAGAAACGTTCTCTTCTAAAAGAGTGGGTACAGTGATTACATTTCGCCTGCTTAGTCTGTACCCACTTGTTTGATTCTATTTGGAGACAGACATTCTAATCAATTGCCGAGACATATTTTTCTGCCTAATACACATTAATACAGTAAAGTTTAAAGTGTAAAACTTTTATCAATAAATACACTACCCGTTTGGGATAAGGAAACGTCCAACGAAATTTAGAAGCCATCAGCAGTGCAACCCTCAGAATGTACAGGGTGGTCCACAGAACCCTTCCTTTATTTTGCTTATACTGTACCGCATGCATGTGTGCGGGCGGGCTTGCCTACTGTCGCTCACCATAGGCGCCTTATGGCCCCGTGCGAGTATGCAACCCGTCCGCATCAAGCCTGAATCCGGTACAGTATACGCGAAGTAAAGGAAGGGGTCTGTGGACCACCCTATATAGGGAAGGGGTTTCCAAAATAAGCGACGCATAACCCTCCAAACACCGAGAAAAAACAATGACGGAAAATTAAGGGACATATATGGGCTGTAATTATTTTCCAGACATGGTCGAAGCAAACGGTTCTTTCGTTCCTCTTTCCTGATATTTGCTATAACGGAGTGTCCGTAAACAGGTCAATAGTTATATGGTTTTTCACACGACGACACGCGGCGATACTCCTGGTTCGAGAGAGTTTAGTGACGGTCTCCCCTTACCTACCTAAGGCTCTATTCGGTCATATGGGCTCCTCCACCCACCTAAGGTCCCTATGATGTGAGTTGGTTGGGGCACGAGTCTACAGCGGTCTAAATCTAAAACTACCACACAGTAGGTCAGTTAGTAGAACCCAAGCCACAGTAAGGCCAGAATCAGGGCATCTCAAGTAGTGGAGAATGCATCAATAGACGGAGCAGAAACGCAGTAGCTTGAGCCAGCGACCAGCGCCAGCAGCATTAATATTTGAAATAAAAGAAAAGCGTGAGGAACAAACGCACAGTCATATCAGAAATCTAGAAGATGTATGCGACCACATAAGTGTTTATTTCACCTCTATAGGAGGGTTCTTTAAATAAGACGATAAGGAAGGGCTGGCGCTGCAGCACTCGCGTTGGCCGCCCGCACCACGCCCCGAACATTAACAGCAGTGCTCGTGGCCACACAGTTACGTGTTCAAGGGCGTCTGGACCCCGAGGCACCTCCGCAGCGAGGGCTGGCCCGGCGCGGCTAGATGGATATTTGCAGGGGAAGGCATGCCCTGGCGTCATGCCAGAGAGAGGACGTACACATACACTGCAACACACCATTTGTTTTCGTAGATAGACCACGCATGTTGCGAAACTCAGAGCGGAACGAATCGCTATAGAATTGAGAAAACGCGTCCCACTCGCTTTAATTGCCTTGACTGTGGCGACTGCTAGTCTAAGCGCAGCCATCCGTAGTCACCCCAGACTTTGCCTTTAAAAAAGGAACACAAGTATACATCACAGTGCAGGATTAGCCCAGCTACTCCACTGTAGCCGTATTTCTTGTGCCGTGCGTTTGTGGCCAAACAACTCTGTTGCTTGCGTGCGAGTGTATTTGGGTGTGCCTTTATGTATTTGTGTCAAGGAAACGTGTATATGTGTGAGCGCACGTTTAAGTGTGTGGAGGACCGGGAGGGGGGG